GTCCAAAGGGGCCTTTTATTAACAGTTTGTGTGTTACTTTTATTTATTAAATATCATGTTCTTTGCAATTAAACCATAAAATTCAGTTCAATAGCAATGCCGCAAAATAATTTTAAAATGAGCATATCTTTAGAAGTTCCGATACACCGTCTCGCACGCTGGAGATAAAAAAGGTTTTTTTATCGTTGAGTTTGTTACTCAAAAATTCGTTAAAGTTTTACAAAATATGAAATCGATAATAAAAAGAAATCCCAAATTTCAAATTTGGTCTTCCGCATGCCCATATTCGCAGTAGGATTACGTCATTCAAAATTCGATGGCTCTATGTACCGTTGTTTTATCACAATGCAAGAAATATACATACATTTATGCAGATTTTTCTTTATTTAATTTTTTCAAATATAATGCAGGACTCTAACATTTGGTGGCAACAGTTTGAAAAGTGATTCGTCGATTATAGTGATTCAACGCAAAATCGCAAAACGCGAACTATAGTCCTTCAGGGACAAAGCCCCTTTGGACTAAAAATATTCCTGCATGTTTGTTTTTATTAATAATTTCACAAGGTAAACCAATTCATGCAAAGCTTGTTTTCGTTATGCAGATATTAGTAGGATAAAAAAACATTCTAATTGAATTAATCTATAATTTGATAAACTGATAAATTATAAATTTTTATGCTCTGTGTTACAAACTTTAATGCAAATAAATTAAGTTCTCATGCTTTGATTATTTACTTTAATTAAAGCGCAATGTTATATTTCCAGTTTTTCAAGTTTAGTGCAAAACTATGTTTGGAACAAAATTTTTGAATCAAAATGCTTGGATGAATGAATCTCGAATTGGGATTTCTAATTTTTTAATTGACATGGCATCTTAAAATTTCTGAATTACTGATCAAAATTTTGAAAATGTAACATTAATAAGGACATTTCGATCGCATTCCTGCATATCCGAATTTGCGTATTCTTTATTTCACGTTTCTACTCCACTCCTGAAATCAGTGTCAAATTTCAAAAGGATATAAAATTTACATATTTGCTCTAAATACCAAAATGATAGCACTAACTTTTAAAAATGATTTCTTTATGGGAAAAAGGAATTGCTTTAATGTAACATTTTATGGATTAAAATAAGTTTATAAGGTATTTCTTCCGCCATCTTAGTGAGCCTTCGTAGTGTAGGGGTCCGCCCTCAGCGCGTAATTGAGTGGTCCGCGGTTCGATTCCCGGCGAAGGCGTTGCATGTTTTCAATCTTCCCTGCTTCCAAAAGTACCTAATGTCGCCAAAGTGGCGCCCGAACTATAAGGGTGTTGGATGATGATTCTCCTCACCCAGGATTTGGCGGTTGGGTCGCCTAAAAAACAGTCGCCCTTTAAAAGGGGGGAGTATATAAGGTATTTCTTCCGCCTCCTTAACGAGCTTTCGTGGTGTAGTAGTCTGCACGCGTAGCGCGTAATTGAAAGGTCCGCGGTCCGATTCCCGGCGAAGGCGTTGCATATTTTCCATCTTGCCTGCTTCCAAAAATACCTAATGTCGTATTATTATTAGGTCAACATTAGTTATTTTTAGAAGCAGGCAAGTTGAAAAATATGCAACGCCTTCGCCAGGAATTGAATCCGGCGAAGTTATGTAAATGTTTTTATGTAACTTGTAGACATAAAAATTTATTTTATTTATTTACTCTTACCCCACTTCATTAGAATTAAAGACGAAGGGGGAGAGAAATTCTTAGATTCACATAGATTAAAAAAATATATATATTGCTTTCCAGAGAGAAGTAACGCTTCTTCTTCAGAAAAAATAAAAGCCGGTTTTCTCCCCCTTCTGAAAGAAGAAGTACCTGTGCCAGTTAATCAATAACTTTTTATTTAAAATTTAAGCAATCTAAGCTTGATTTTTGCCTAATTTTGCATTTTGCATTACCATGTATAAATGGTACATTATTTACATTATTTTATAGATATTTCTGATTCAGCGTATTGATTGAAAAGATTTATTGCATCCATTCTTCATTGTATCTTAAGACCTTTTTTTAAAAAAAATATTTTGACTTCCAGGACGTTTTTAAAATCTAACTTACTTAGATAAACCACCGAAGCAGATTAATCCTTAGGACAGAGCTAATTATGATGTAGAAATTTAGATTAATGAATTTTAGCTCGACCTTTACTATACCATTTAAATTTAAATGAATGACATAAATTAAAATAAATGCATAATCTATACGCTCTGACTAAAATTACGTTCAAGTATTCTTGCACATAAATTTCGGTTAATTATATTCTTGGTACTACATAAAATATTGTATTTCTATACTAGAGAGGAGTAAATCATCCTAGTCTTGTACGAATGGGTCATTGAATTGCATTCTTTAAGTCACTACACTGTATTTCTTCGAAACTATTTAAGACGCACCCTTTTTTCCGAAGTAAAACTTCGCTAAAAATGAGATGCGGCTTGAACTCAGTGGCGCATTAGAATGTAGATTTTTTCGAACTGCTTCTGGAAAAATTATAAAATTTCTAAAAGTACTATTTTAAATAATAATGCTACTATTGTAAATATATAGATGATTATTATTAAAACTATTTGTTAGATATACTTTTTTAAGTCGATTTCTTTGACATTAAGGTCTTTGCCAGGTATATATATGTATATCTAATAATTCCGGAAGCATAGAAGGAGACTCAGCTTGCAGTCATAGTGGCTGAGGTTGAAGGCTTACAGATGAAGATAACAAAATATGAATTTGACGAATTTTCAGTCTTTATTTCTACGCATATAAAATCACCTCAGTAGATATTTATCTATTCATAATGAAATCCGAGACATTTATATGATTCAGTCATACTGAAACACGATAAATTACTATGTACATTGATTCTTAAAATTAAGACGCAGGCATTTTAGACGGGAAATCAAAGCGAGGAGCTATTAGCAAGGTAAAAGCAAACAGAAGTTCCAATTTCATATTCATTATGCATCAACACTTCAACGCCATCAAAATTCCTGCTGGTCATTACTTCTGAGTTTGATTTTATCACACAAACACACACATACACATATATATATAAGGAAGAAGAGAGAAAGAAGTCTTCCTTTATTTCTTTCTCCAGTAGAATTGTAGAAGCGGGAACGTGTCTAATTGCCCTCATAATCGATAGAGTTTTATTCAAAATCTACATCAAACTAAGCAACTAAGTTTGCTTTTTGCCTGAAGTAAAGGATCATAGAGTTTAAGAAATACAGTAATATTAATGTGACTAAGAGCTTATTTTTTATTTTATTTTATTTATTTATTTATTTTATTTTATTTATTTTTTTATTTATTTTTTTTATTTTTTTTTATTTTTTTATTTTTTATTTTTATTTTTTTTTTTTGCTTGGCTTTTTTAGAAACTAGAGAACCTTCAAAGTGCCTACAAAAAGCTCTTTTTAATATAAAAGGAAATATTAGATAACGATGGATGACTATTACATATATGAGCATAAACAAATTGACACTTATAATGAAACTATTTTTTCTATTTAGACATTTTATGAAATAAGATAAATTTTTAACTCAGAAAAATAATTTTTCACCGCGCTAGAAACTACATATATATATATATTTGGTTATTCAACTACTAGTAATTATTTATCATTTTCAGTTTGGTAAACATTTATATTTTAAGGCTTTTAAATTTGATTAGTGGGTGCTTAGACTTTATTATCGGTCAATATTTTTCTTGTATTAACCTTTTTTATTGCTACTGAGTAGCTATTTTACTTCATTATTTGACATTTAGTAAATTCATTTGGTTTTCCTATCCGTAACACAACCTGAAACATCATATGTTTATTATTTATCATCATACTTTTATTAATTTATTATGATTCCATTACTTTTTAATTAATAGTCATTAGTTTAAATAATAACACACCTATAAATTTATGTGCATAAATTTATGCAATTCCAAATTATAAAAACCCTTTCTTTAGATAATTTCTTTAAGTAATTTGATGCGATCAGTGCTTGTCATAACTTGGCTGCTGATAACCGTTGTTATTTTTATACTGCATGAATACATTGCAAGTAAATAATATAACAATCAGCTTATGAAATGAGTATTCTTTAAATTAATGTTTATTTCAAATATTTTTTTAAAGAAAAAGTGATTCTAAGAGAAACAACTAGCGTATGATAAAATGAATGAAAAATGCCCTTGAACTACTAGCTGAAATTATGTACAAATTTAGCAAATTATTTTGCAAAATATATGTATACAGTTGTCCGTTTCATTTTAAAATTCATTAATTTTTAATAACTATTTGGTTTTAACGAACGATATTTCGAAATTGCTCTACATTTTTAAATTTCTAAAAAGGAAGAACTAAAATCTTAATGCTCACTTGATTATAATAGCAAATATTTAAGCTTAAATTCAGATCTCCCCCTCTGTTACATAATTGTTTAAATTTAGAAGCGTAATAATCTCGCAATTAAACTATAAAAAAACAACCTTATATCCGGGAAAATATGTAAATATTTTTGGAAAAAGCTGGAATTTTTATTTTACTTTTATGAAGGGAGAGCCGTATAACATTTGTATGAATTTTTCATAAGCGGAGTGCATAAGTGCTGATTTTTAAAAAGGAGAATATGCCCTTATCATTTCTACGCGTTTGCTCCTACAGAATCTAAACTCGTTTTAGTTTCTAGAGTATCCGCTTTAACAGAAACCAAATCCACTTTATTGATGAATAGCACTTTTTGTTATGTTTCAGCACTGTTATACTAAGAATCTAGTTTGGTTATAATTTATTCTTTCCAAGATCACGTACTTGATGATATCTTAAATTTGGAATTTAACTCAGGGTTGCAGAATTTTGGGAAATAGAGTGACTTAAAATTTCTTTTTCTTTTTCTTTTTTTTTTTTTTTTTTTTTTTTTTTTTTTTTGATAATCTGATTAACAATTTCAAGTTAATCCAATAAATGCACAATATTACTCTGAGAAGAATATGACATTTATATGATTAAATCTTTCTGTAAGCAGTTTGTAGAATTATCCAGTTAAGAGCCATTGATGTTATAATTTGCATGTTCGCAACTCATTTCTGTGTGTGTCATTTGAGTTAAATTGAAGCTTACAATTAAGTATAATACACAGTGACGAAATAAAATTTTTGTATATTTAGCAGTTTCTTTTGAAACGAATTCACAATCTTGGGCTCTTCAAATGGATGCCTCATGTCATGGATAACCTGCTTGTCAATGCATATTTAGTTAAAATAGGTTTAATCCAATTTTACCTTTTACACTAATGCAAAGAAATAAAAAAGATACAAATTTGAAATAATTGCATGTGTTGGTATATGCACAGAAGGTCACATGCAAGTAACTTGTCTTTTAAGGTTCTACGAATTGTTCGAATAGAACATTTTTTTTTTTTTTTTACCCGCCATAGTTACTACATTACGCCTTATTTCAAAAGAAAAACCTAATCGAAAACTCCTCTCTGCTTCAAACCTTACGTACCCAAACAATACATACGGCACGTGTTGATTTGGCGGCCGCGCCTTTGGCGATAAACGGTAAAACTGTCCTGGTAACCCTTCGAAAGGCGTGCGGAGGGGTAGGAGAAATTATTGCTAAGAAAATACGAGCTCCGGCTTCAGATGAGATCCAGTTCTTCTCCCGATCAGGTTATTCCTAGGATAAATGTTACTACTCTCCTTAGCTGATATGCTCTAGCATTTGGGATAACTTGAGACATCCGAAGATGCAGAAGGTAAGCCCTTCCAGTTTTCGATGTCCCGTTACAACTTGATACAGCGTGATACTTCCGTGGCCATTGACTGCTTAAATTGTCTTCTTTATAGTTTAAATTCTACTCAGTGAGAGATGTATTTCTGAATGAAGAGAGAAAAAGAATTGTAAAATTTGATCTTACCATTCAAAATTAACTGCTCAGGATTTCATTGTAATATCAATTAGAGTGGAATAAGCAGTTATAGAATTAAGAGAGATATTTCTTTTGAGTAGGGCCCATCTTTAACAATCACAAAATCAATACGGATGGCGGGTTTAGTGTGAAGGAGAGGAAAGCGTGATATTTCTGTCTGAGAGCGTAAGAGAATTTATTTTCTTTTTCTTAAGTTTTATTAGAGTGTAAGAGAATTTATTTTCTTTTTCTTAAGTTTTATTAAGTTTTATGAATGAAAATGTTGCAGTGCAAATAAAACGCGCGAAACTAACTTGGGAAACTCACTTGAGCTAAAATTTGTAAATCCATTTAACAACTCGTGAGAGTGCTATCAAATTGTTTATGCCCTGAAAAACTTATAAGGTGTCAACTTAAGATTAAAATGTTTTGAAGCATTACAAAATACTTGATATGAATGTTTCGAATTATTTGTGTGTCTTGCTTTATAGGAATCGTTTTTAAATAACAAGAATAAGCTCTTTTTTTCCCATCATTCTAAAAATAAAGTTCATGCTTTTTACAAACTTCTTTTCCAATCCGCTTATTTTATTCGTCCTGATTTTCTGATATTAGATTATTATTTCTGTGAAAGCTGAAGGGAGAAAAAGAGTACTTTCCGTACCATTTTACTAACCTGCTTATTACTTCGTTAGTCTTGAATTTATTGATTATCACATTTTCTGGTGCGAGATGCATTTATATTTTTGTTGTTTATTCTAATCTCTCTCTAATAAATGTATAGCTTTTTATTTTCTATTTCTGCCTCTTTCTTTCTCTGTTTATTTACATACAGACGTAGCTTTCAGGCATGATTGTGTGTATACATGTTTAGATAATAATATTAATTACAAAAGCAACTGTTTAATTAAAATTCTGTGAATAAATTTGGTGCATTAGTTTGAGTGCATTGCTGAAGATCGAAAAAAAATTCGTTTTAAACTAATTTTCTAATTTAAACGTATTTTTTGTTTCTCCATGCTAAAATGATGTGCTATTGAAATGTGTTATTAGTATAACCAAGTAAGTGACTATCATATGCAATGCCATGTACTTTCTAAATTACCAAATAATTATTTTAATGCTTTTAATTTTCTGGTCCATGATTGCCTTACTCGTTCTGTCTTTCTTTGTCTTTTAATACAAGTAAAAATGTACAGCATTTTCACTAAAAGTATTCACAAGCCTTAAAATGTCTGATGCAGATAACTTTGTTGATGAAATCTGTCACGCACCGAAGAATTGCTTTTGGCTCTTAGCCATGACGCTGCCTTTGCTTCAATTCGTTGCTCAAGAACATCCACGGGTCGTTCACCGGATTTGGCAGACTTTCTTTTATCATCACCGTTAATTAGTCTTCCTCAATTTGTTTAATCAGATTGCATTTAAGTGACTTATAGTTCACATAATCAAAAGGTTTTTGATGGCTTAAGTTTATCAGTTCAAGGAAGTCACAGAATAAAGTGCATTATTCGTTTCATACGAAGATCCTTCCTGCTGGAGTGCAGACATTCGTGATCATAAGAGTTAGTAATCTGAATACGTATTTTAATAAATACGGCCTTGCTGATTACATCTGCTCCCTCTTCCTTTGTGTGCGCCTTCAATCGAACCTACCAGCAGAAATGAATAGAGGTGGTGCTATTTCATCGGATATGCAAAACACGCAAATCTTAATTCAGAATGTGTGAGAGACAGCGCTTTCATTTCGAACTTCATTTAATGTCAAAGCACAATACTCACTTTCAGAAAAAGGTGAATAGATGTAAATTAATTTGCATTCTTGAGTAGGTAAATATTCATATTCAAACAAAAGTGTGAATTATTGAAGAGAAAAGTTTAGTTTAAATAATTTAACTTTTCACTACATCTAAAATACTTTAATATTTGTAAAGATGAGTAAGGTAAGAGAAAATCTAAGCGGACTGAAGTAACAGAATCTTAAGGAATCTCTCTCTCTCTTTTTTTTTTCCTTTGAAGAATAAAGTCTTATAAATACAATTAACATGGCTTTTATCGAAAAAGAATTTAATGAAGAAAAAATTAAGCGGACTGAAGTAACAGAATCTTAAGGAATCTCTCTCTCTTTTTTTTTTTTCCTTTGAAGAATAAAGTCTTATAAATACAATTAACATGGCTTTTATCGAAAAAGAATTTAATGAAGAAAAAATTTTCATGCATTCGAGCCAGATATCCCTACAAACGAGAATATTTTCAGTATATCTTTTCTATTTGTAAATTTAATAACAGAGAATGTTTCTGCTAATGCTTTTGTATGAAAGGCATTTAAAATTATTTTACTGTAAGATTAACAATATAGAAAAATGTTTGAAAAGAAAAATTTAATTTGAAATATTTTTACTAGAATTGAAGGCATAACTCAAAATCCAACAAGATCATAGCTAGCCCATTTTAGGGTATGGAAAATTTTATTTATTTTTTTTCTTTTCAGCCAAATCAAAGATTAAAAAAAGTTAATTTTAATTCTTTAGAATTTTAAGACTTTTGTTTAAGAATTCTGTATATACGACGACAATACCAAACTTATTGAAAAGTCAAAGCACCTCCCTTATAAATGACGGGCAGGTTATGGCCATCCTACGCTGAGAAGAGATAAGAAAACGGAAAGATAGTGAGTGCCCTGATGTATAATAGTTAGGAGGAATAGCGGCAAGAGGCTTTATTGGAATGCCGGGAAGAACGATATTTTTAAGGTGTATGACGCATGCATATCACACATATGTAATTAAATTGTATGACGAGTTAAAACAAAAGTTTATTAATGTTGACTCCCAAATGTCGTGCTGAAATTTCTCTTGAAGTATTTGAAGATAAATTTAATACGACTAAATATATGTATATATATATATATATGTGTGTGTTTGTATGTATGTATACATACATAGGAATCGCAGCATATTAACCTTGCATGTGCGAAATCCTATATGAAAAAAGAATTATTTTTAATATCTAAATAATTAAGAACCAACTATATTAATTCCTTACGAATTTAAGAAATTAGATTGTTCAAATTCAAAGAAACATTAATATGAATAACGAAACAATATTAAAACTGAATCTGAAAGTTATAAGGTATTTCTCTCGTCTTCCTAGCGTGTCTTCGTAGTGTAGTGCTTCTGCACACTGGGCCGGTATTCCAGAGGTCCGTGGTCCGTTTCCCGGCGAAAGCGATTGCTCATTTTTCATCTTGCCTGCTTCCAAAAAATACTTAATGACTCTACAAAGTATTCATCTAGGTCGAAAGGAAAAGGAACATCGGTAAAAGGATTTTACTTTCTGAAAGAACAGGGAACGTGTCGTGTAAAGAAATATGTTGAATTTTTCTGTAAAACCAACATCATTTTTAAGGTTAAATATTATGTAATTAAAAAGGAATACAAGGTAGTCACTTAACTTCATATATATTATTCTTCTGAGAATAAAATCCGCCTATACTTTATGATTCCATTTATTCAATTTTAATATTTTAAAATATTTGCCGATATATATCTGATGAAAATTTTAATAATTATTAAATTATTGCTGACTATTATCGTTTGATTTATAATAGCTCCTCATTAATAGCCGTTTGAGGTTTTCGTAAATTCGGTTTTTTATGCATTCAGTATTAATTCAAATTTAATATTTAATTCCATAAGTGTCATTGGCAACCGCCAAGATCGCCGAATGTCAGGGTCGTCAACCAAATTGTTGTCCAAAGTGACAATGTTTTGCTGCAGCGACAGTTCATACTATCAAAACTGGGTGTAACTAAAACTGGGTGTAAACAAATGACAGTCTAATATTAACACGAAAGAAGCGAGCATAGAACTGTAGAGCTTGCAGGATCTGATATCCGGAGTGGCCGAAAATATCAAAAGACGTTGCAATTTGCATTTGTAACTCTTTACAAAACACTTATGCTAACATATAATCGGCCTATAATTTTTTTTTTGGACGAATTCGGTATCAGTAGCTGTAACGAAGAGAAGTTTTCTAAATTGAAATTGACAATATATTTTTAAATCATGTTTAAGTTTAAAAAAATGAATTCTTTTGCAATTCTAAAAAAGTTCTATTTTTACTTAACTTGATAAAGATACTATACTTTGGTGTGAAATACTAACATGTTTAATTTATGTGCGGCCCCCAACTGAACTCCTGGTTAGCCGAAAATCTTGGAACTGGACTTAGTAACACGGTAACTGCTTTTATTAAGTATTATTGCTATAGAAATTTTAAAAAGCAGCATTTCATCTCTCTTGATTTTAGGCACTCTTTATAGAGTTATCAATTCAGTTAACATCAGATTTATCAAGCTGACATTTTAAATATTTACATTTCATGCTAGCATTTCTAAAATTAAAATTTATACTATAACTAAAAATTCAACCAATTTGACTCTGGCACGTAGATTGTTAGAATCATAGTATGATTTACACATTTCTTTAAATTTTAAGGAACTGAATAACAAAATTTAAAATCAATTTATTTTGATCAGTTTAATATTTTAAGCTCATCAGAACTAAAAAAACGTCTGATAGAATATTTTATGTTATCAAATTTTTATCAACCTACATATATAAACAGACATATACATAATTATATTTAAGAAATGAATTAAATAGCAGTAACCAGATTTATTTTACCTCTTAAAGAATAAATTCCTATGCATTTGTATTTGCGCTAAATTTTCACCAAAATGGTCTTGTCGACAAATCTTTTGTGCGGCTTTTGGCATAATCAGGGCTCACATACGCCTAGGAATGGATTCTACTATTTTAAGCATCTTTCGTATGTAACTCAAT